AAAGCCATTTAATTTTTTTCCACTTCATCTTGCTTTTTTTATGGCTACTGCATGGAAAATGCTTTTGGAAGGTGGATGATTCTGTGTGAGGGATGGATTCAGATAATCTAGGTATGAAGAACAAATTATCAAGAGTTGCTTGATGAGGGAGGAGGAGGGAAGTGTTGAGTGTAAAAGGTGAATAGAAACGAACAACTTTTCATGTGCGTTGGCACAAGTCTTTGTGCTGATCAGAAACCACAGAGCAGCAAAATGCACTTAGATATTTGGGAATAAAAGTTAGATTTCTACTTTTCATGTTGCTGCCCATTTCATGTGACTTGGGTGTGTATATTGCACTTGGGAATATCAGCATGTATTCTGTTTTAGTTTTTTTAGAGATAATTTTTCCAGTCTTTGCAGTCTTCAGGTTTGGTTTTATAGAAGTTAAAGTAATTTCTGTATTCAAGAAGGTGCATACAATAAGGCTTGTATGACCAATTAGATTTCTTTCTGTCTGGGAGGATAATAACAGTTTCCTTTCAATGATGAGGTTTCATTTTCTGACAAGAGTGAGCCACAGCAAAAATGTCTGACTTAAATAAGTTTAAGAGAACACAGCATCTAAGTTTCTGAATGTAGAAATACCAAGCAGGGACATGATCTCTCTCATTATGCTCAGGCCTTTGGAAAAAGAACATGCCAGAAATATTGCCTGCCTTTGTTCTTGGCATGGCTAATATATTGCTCTAGTCAACTGGATATTCCCTTGGAAGGTTACAGTAAATCATGGGCCTGGAAATAAGCCAATATTTCCTTCCATGATGCAAATCTTAAAAGGTACAAAAAAGGCTGTGTTGGGCTATTCTCAGATAGAGCTTCCTCGTGGACAAGGCCTGCTCACCAGTAACAGAACCACAAGAGGGCAATGGGTCTTTCATATATGCTGGATAGCCAAAACAAAAACTATAAAAAATTCAAACAGTTAAGTCCTTCAGACAATGGTAAAAAGTAATTTAAAGGGAAAAAACGGATGAAAGCAGAGGAGTGTAATCCTGAAAAGCTTCATTCAGGTCTTCAGACTTGTTCACAGAGTTGTGTGTTTATTATTTGCTTAGTGGTTTTAGAAAAGTTGTATGTGCTTACAGTTTACTTCTTAAGGGAAGCAGGCTTAGTTCTTGTATGCAGCTCTTCCATTCTTGTGCTAGACTTATTGTCAAGCTTACTGTGCAATTGGCACTTGGAGGGTATCTGGGTGTACTCAGATCCAGAGGAGAGCTGTTTATCCAGTCTCTCAACTCCTTTGGTATATCCTTCTCCTTCTCCCCTGACACTTTTTTTTATCTTTGCTTTAAGGTATGAACAACATGTTTTGGAAAGATTTGAAAAATAGATTCTGAAGTTTGGCTTATGATTATCCAGGAAAAATTAAGGTACTGAAGTGGTGTACAGACATTTCATAGTTCAAAACTCCCTACTAAAGAACTATCTTACTATTCTATAGATAGTCACTGCATTAGATAGTATTTTTTTAAATGAGTGCTCATAAAGGTCTCTTGAGGTCAGTGGTCTCTTTCAAAGAAGGACTAGTGCATAAGCCTGGTTACACTGGAATTAAGATTGACCCACTGGGGTGTCTCACATTTCCTCTCATTTTTCCCACACTGTTTTTTCTCTGTTGAGAAAAACAGAGCAGTTGAAGAGAAAAAAGTGTCTGAAAACAGCCACTGGAGGGAAACAGTTTAGTTTTCCCCTTTTCACCTGGACTATTGATGTTGCCAGTGAAGAAGTGGTACAAGATTGTATCCTTCCCCATGAACACTGCTGCAAATGTGCCAAGCACAGAGCCCTTAGGGCAGGTTTCCTTGACCAGGGAGAGAAGGGGTGGGCACCAGAGCCTGGTGTTCAAGAGGGAACAGCCTGGCTACAAATACACTGTGTAAATATCATCAAGTATTCCTATTCCACAAAATGCTGATGGAGTTATGATGGAACAGGGGTTTTTATTCTGAAGATGCTTTGCATAAGTGTGTATACTTTTGTTTTTTTTTTCTTTTAGAACACGCAGCCAAAAGGAAGGTGGTGTGTGAAGGAAAAGGTGGCTTCAGAGCATCTAAGGGGCAAGGAGGGAATCTTGCACCTTTGTGGCTCCTCTCCCATGATTTCTCAAATAAGTAATTATACTTTTTAATATTAAATGTGTAGTTACAAAATTATATCTGAGTGAGGTGTATTGCATTTATATTTTTAAATAAAAATAATTGGTTTAATGTTTTTTAAATTATGAAAATGATTATCAGCTTACTGACTAGGTTTGCAATTTGGAGTTCAGAAGCAAAATGTGATACATTACTAGGCAACAGTAGAAGTTTGGATTTAGACTAAATGGCATAAATTTCCCTTGTCTGCAAAGGTTGAAAGTCTTATTTCTTGCCGGAGATGGAGGCAGTGTGAACATTTACAACTTGGGTGGGGCATATATGCAGATGATAGTCCTGATGATCCTACTCTGTTCTGTTCCTCCTCTGTAGTAAGAGCTGGTATGGCACGGTGACTTATTTTGACATCTGCACATGTGCGCAACATAAAAAGAAGATAATTTTGACCCTCACCCACTTTTAGTAGCTTTAGAAATGGCAATGTGGCAACGCATTTGTGATACTGCTGACATAGCTGTAACTGAGCAGCACTGTTGTGGAAGCCCAATCTTCAGACAATCTTCACCCAGTTCCAAGACTTGTGGCAGTTTCTAGACAATGGCTGCATGAAAGAGCACTGTGCTCTGGTTTAGACTTCAAAGCTGGGGACACAGTCTGTTCTGGAAGACAAGCTGGGTAACCAGGCAGTTTCAATTCATCCCCTCTACTTGTCTTGATGACTCAGTCTCATACTTCAGTGCTAGTTTTATGTCTGCTAATTATTTTGTCTTTGCTCAGCTACTTAGAACAGAGCTTCTGCAACTTAGTTCTAAAGCCTTCTCTTCACTGATAAAGCCCAGAAGGTCACTGGCAGCATGACAGTGTTTTCTAGTTTGTTTTTTTTTTTTCCCCATTACGGAAATTTACTCAACAAATCCTGTGAACTAAGTCCTTGAAGGGGCTGAGAGATTGAGGAGGTAAAAACCAAAAAACTCCAGGGCAGTCCCCCCTGCTTTGGCTTCTTGGTAGCAGCAGTATTGGTTAGGCTTCATGTAGAGTTGTGAGGGTTGATCTCTAGACACAGGCTCATTAGCATGGCGAAGTCACTTGCCTTGTGGGTGAATGCAGATCTTGACCTGCTGGCTGGTGCACTCTAAGTGCACTAGAAAACTGAGGTCCGTGCAAGAGCCGAATGGCTCTTTAGATCAAAACATATTTGACAGTGACATACAGCCTGGCTGGGTGAGCCTTACACTTGTGTTCACTGATGCATAGAAAAATCACTAAAAGATGTGGAAACATGCATAGGAGTCTCTCAGTTATTGAGGTAAAAAGAAATACTTTTATAACTTTCAATAGCCTTGTGAGTCTAACATCACTCTATAATTAAAAAAAAAAAGGTAGGAACTGAGCTTTCTTGAATTTCACGTTCTTTTTTAAATGAGTCAGCACAGTCTAATCTATACTATGATTAAGTGCCTCTAACCAGGAGATTTAAATAAGAAACAAATACAGTTTCATTCATCCCCTTCCTCCATCGTTTCTGCTCCCGTTATGTTTGTAGACTTGACAGATGTGCATCCGTACGCAAAGGGGCAGACGCGTGTGTACACATTCTCACAGGCGCACCCGTCCTGCTCCACTTGAGTGTGATGGGGTGATGTAGAGTCTGCTGCCTGGCCTTGTCAGAACTTGATAGCTCTCTAAATATTGTATTTCTTGTTGCCATAACACTGGGAAAATAGTATGGGATACTGAATTATAAATATAGCTGAAGCCCTGGGGAGTAGAAGCATTTCTAAATGACTTGAACCTATGTCAGAGTGTAATTCTTATAAATAAATGGGAACATAATTGCTGAACCCTAGCTGGATTTTTGCCTACTGTGGCACTCAACATTGCTAGACAATTATTATACTAAGGGATTATCTTTTAACAGAGAACAGTTATCTTTTCTGTTTGTTTTTACTATTCACATAAACCAAGGGAAATGAAAAGTGTTCTAATCAGTCATGGATCTTTCTCCTCAATTAGCTCTAGCTTTATTTAGAAGGGTTTTATGCAGTACATTCAGTTTACAACTGGAGGAAGGTTAAAGGTGGGGAGAGAACTTAACAGATCTGTTTTACAAAGCCACCTCAGTGAGGACATGAAATGGGGAAACAAACAGATAAACATCATGTTGAACTGAATTATAGATGAAATATAAATTTAACTATAGGAACAAAACCACATTCTTCATCTATGGAACTGTGACACGTGAATTGAAATACATTACCCTGAAGCAAATTTTTTTTTTTTTTTCAGACTTCAAATGTAGATCCAAAGAAAATAAATTTTATAAAAGGTATCATGAAAAAATTGTACAGTTTGCCTGCTAAAGCCAGAAGTCTAAACTGGCAGTCATTTTGCATGTGACAAAAAAAAAATAAATTAAAGAAGAAAAATTAAATCTTGATTTGGTGTCTGCCTGTCTATATATATATATATATATATTTAATATATATATATATATTTATTTGCCTGCTATTTTCATATTGAGAAGCATCAGCCTAGGACAATTTTTCACAGATGGCAAGTACAGTGCAGTCTTCTAAAGCTTTCTGGAGATTGGAAAGTGCTATGCATCACATCAAAATGTATGTCTAGCTATAGCGTGGACAGCTGAGCTCTAAATACACTCAACTGTGAAAATGTCAACACCAGTTACCTCTCTTATACCGTGACTGTCTTTGATGGTTATGTTTTAGTAGTTTAAATTTGCAAGACATTTGTAAGGAGATTTAATAAAAGAAGCAAAACCAACCTGAAGCTTTTTGTTTTTTAACTTCAGTACGTGGTTATAGAGGAACGCAAGTAGTGAGGATCATGCTGCAGTTTTGATTCTTTACAGGATTTTTATTATTATCCTAATAATACAGAATTAATGTGGTGGATTTTAGTTTTGTGTATTGTTTTTTTCACAAGAGCACCAGACCTTAATTACAAAATGCAATAAACCAGAAGTGATTTCTCATCCAAGATTATGGTCAGCAGCAAGGTGTCTGACTGCTGATGTATGGAAGACAGCTTGTAGAGGTCTGAAAGCAAACAATTGCACTGTTCTGAAAAAAAAATTGCATTTATGAAAATTATTGGGAAGTAATTCAACTTAAATTGAAATTATTTGATATTTGACCTCTGTTGCACCTCTGGACTTCATATGCGTTGAAAGCATATAGATGGAGACAGTGTCCCTAGGGTAGTTGGCCTGTAGCATGCATGAGTGCGTTGTGGGTAACAACAATAGAGAAGATGCAGTGGCATTGCCTTTTGCTGCAGGCTTCCTTCCTGAGCAGACAACACAGATTTTGCAGTCAGCACCAAGTTTTGTATTACCAAGTTTCTGCTGCTATAAATCTAGCATGGCTACACACATGGTGAAATAAGGAGTCGGAAGTGGGCAAATAAATGAAAGAAAATGGATTTTGTTCTCCCTTTACCTCATGTTTTATGGCACTCTTACAAAATCTATAAAAGAAATCGGGCTCCCTCTTTCTATTGAAGGAAAGAGTGTTAACCCTTTACCTCTGGCCCACCTGCCTCAGCTTGCAAATATAAGATATTAAATGTACCTACTGAGTAGCAATGTAGTGATTCAAAATAAAATACTACTTTGTCATGTTTACTGTTTTTACAAGACCTGTATTTCTAAATGCTTTGCAAGAGTTAAATAACTGCCAGTGCTACATGGTCTAAATTCCAAAAGAGCAGAAAAAAAAGAGATTGCATATACTGGAAAATTTGAAGACATGTAAGATGAATAACATGGCAAGAGAACTCTGAAGGGCAGGAAAGGGAAGACATTATATAGCTGAAAAACAAGTGGAGAATGGTGAGGACAGAGGGAAATACAGAGATAATTTTGTCTTTGTCAATTGGGCAGAAAATAGACTGCTACCAAAATAAATAAGAAAAGGCAAGTATTCTATGGCAGGGGGAAGGAGTGAGGAAGATGCACATGCATGAATGCTTTTAAGCAGTGAGGAAAAAGAACTGGTAAAGAATGAGGCAAACTGAATAGGGAATAATTTTTGTGTACCCTGGAGTTTGCAAGTCTATAGAAATCTGTTTTTTAGTCCATTTTGTGGGAGATGGAAGTGATGCAGACAGCAGAAGAAAGTGACAGAATTACCTGTACAACTATCTTATCGTATAACCTGGGTAAATACAGTTTTGATAACTTAGTAAGCTTCCATTGGAAATTTCAATTCAAAAGTAATACTCTTCACTTACTTTTCAGAGACCATAATATTCAGTGCAGGTGGAATGATTCCTGTTTAAACTTCTTCTATTTTTAGGTCTTGTCTCAATTCTATTGTCTCAGTATGAGTAATCATCAGTCAGGAGCAACACTGACTTTGAGGCAATCCACTGGGGACATTGTAAGATCAGGGCTACTGTTTGTGAAGCACTTCAGGATCAGGATACTGCTGAAAGAAAAAAGTAGCAGGTAGTGTAGATTCATTATCTGGCATTTTAGGATAATGTCCAGCCCAGCTTCTTGTTAGTCAGATTTTGAAGTCCTTCAGTGACAGGGTTTCCACAGCCTCCTTGGAAAAACTGTTCTAGTGTTTGATTAGTTTTATAGTGATAAACTAGAATGCCTCCCCCTCTGATAATCTGGTTGGAACTTCTCCTGGTTGAGTTTACAGGTGTGGTCTCTTGTTCTACTCCCTTGCACTGCTGTGAAGAGCCTATGTCTTCTCTGTAATCTCCTTTTACATACAGGCAAGCTGCTGGTAGCTTCTCTCAAAACCTTTTCTTTTCCAGGCTAGACAATTTCGCTCAGACCTCCTCTCCAGTCCTCTCACCATCTTGGTGGCCCTCTCTTCAATTTGGTCCTTTTAGCACTGGGATTACCAAAACTGGATGCAATATTCGAGGTACAGTGAGTGCTAAGCAAAGGGGAATAATAAAAAATCCTGATGAAATTTTGTTAAGGATAATGGATTATACTTTTAACAATGCTGATGTAATGGACCAGGAATTTTTTTTTGAGGCTGTACCTGGCTACCATCCTAGAAACAATTCTTCAGACATCACTGCTTCCCTGGAAATAGGTTAGCTAGAAATTTGGAGCCTGTGGAACCATTAGATTGTAAAAATGAAAAAGGAACACAGACCTGGTTTCTAGGTTTTTTTCATCTTCTTTATATGCTGAAAATAACAGCAGAAGATGTGAAGAAGCACAGTAGAAAGTCAGTAATGACTGGTAATCTTATTTCCCATACAAATGCCATAAGAGCAGTTCTGGAGCAGGTGGAAAGGAATGATGTCTTGGCACCACATTTTGGCAGGAACAAATTTTTCTCCATACCAACTTGGTTTCTAGAAATGCTGAGTCTTTCCTTATAGTAGCCTTTGCAGTTACATATGAGAACCTGATGAACTGAAAAAAAAAGAAATAGACCCAAAGTGTATGCTGGTCTAAACTCTATGATGACTAGTGAGGCTGCCTTAGTTTACTTCTTGCATTTCTGCCACGAGATCTCATTGGACTTCATGATCTTAAGTCTGTCTAGGAAAGAGGTTATATTGATGTCACTTCCTACTCAAAGAGCTTCAGAAGGAGAAACTAGGCTGAGGCTTATAGCAGGGTGACATAAATGCCTACTCCAGGGCCACCTGGCTACTACTCATACCTGTGCTAGCAGGTATGAGGAGATATTCCTGCCATCAAAGTGTAGGGAGAGGAGGGAACCAAATCAGTCTGTGATGGAGATGACAGAAAGTTACTGGCTTGCAAAGCACAGCTGTCAGGGGTGCCAAGTTTGAGAGAATTTGATCTTTTCTACCTCATGGTTCTTGAAAACATGTGATTATGCTGTTTGGTTTCCTGTTGTGTTCTGTGGCCTTTGTCATCAGAAAGAAGAAGTGGCATTTCAGTAGCTGGTGTGCCCCCTGAATGGCTACATTGTGCCATATGGCACTGACCTTTCCAGTGTTCTGTAATGTAAATGTCAGTTGCCTCTTCAGAGCTTCAATAGCTCATGGAAAGTGTGAGGCTATGGGGAAGTGTAGACTGCTGAAGAGACAGAGGTGTGTGTTTCATTATCCTCTATCGCAAAATATGAAGGGTATCACTTAGATGCATTGAGGAGAGGCTGAGGGTGAGCACCTCTGTGCTTGTGGGCTTTCAGAGGCCTTCTGTGCAGAACTGGTTAGATAAAATGAGTAGGAAAATGGCATTTCTGTGAATGGGAGAGGTGGTGCTCACCTCCAGCAGAAAAAGTAAGGCTGCAGCCCTGAGGTGCTGTGAGCTGCTGGCAGGATGAAAGTTGTTCTGTACTTCCCTGTCTCCTGTCTCTTTGGTCTATTTGAGTTATAACCTCTTCAGGGGAAAAGACTGGCTTGCTTGGTTAATGCTAAGTTCAACAGGCTGTCCTTGGTCTTTGGCTGTTACTGTAATAAATAAAGATGGTAATACTTACACATAGAAAACAGGTTTTCTTAGTTGTATTTGGTTTCTATTTGTTTGTTTATAGAGTCATATTACGATTTTTGCCTCTAAGTCACTGTCAGTGATCTCTGAAGAAAGTCTGAAAGTCATGTAGGGGAGGGAGCTTACCTAAATGAACGCCTCATGCATATCCAACTCTTGTCTTGTTCCGTCTCCTCGTCTGATGCTGCCTGATTGTTACTAAAGTTGTTGGCATTTCCTTTGACAATCTTTGAGGCCCTCCTGACCTGTAACGCCTATTTATTAGTACAGTGTATAAGTGAATAAGTAACTCTGAAATTTTAACATTTCTGTCATAAATAAGTGACAAAGCAGTAAATCCCATTTAGGATCCTCCATGTCAGGAGAACTAGCTGGTTTTTATCTTGCTTGCTCAGCTTCTCCCACCTGAGACAACTTGCTTCACCTTTGTCTATCAATTTTCCAAACCGTAAAGTCGGATTAATAATCTATGTAAAATTGCACTTTGTTGGCTTGATATATGTATAGAGGAAGTCATGTTATAGTTGCATAGTTTTGAATTATGTTGGAAAGTGCTAGAAGCACTTTCCCAGAGGGAATAAAGTGTCAGTGTAGCATCGGTCTGTTTTCTCCTTCAGAGTCTGTATTCTAGCTCACAAACAGTATTTAAAGAACATTTAAATGCTTTACTTGAAACAAGTTACAAAATGCCAAAATTGTGAGCCACTGCTTATTTTCTACAAATTCCTGAATTCCTACATCATTGAGAACATCAGTGTTTACTGAATTCCATATTATGTTTTTTTGTTTTTTTGTTCAAAACGTGGCCTGTGATTCATTTGCTGTGAGTTTTTCAAGGCCTGCTTTGACTACTAACTTGTTAATTTTCTTCTTGCTTTTTTCTGTGGTACTTATTACTGCAGTAACCATGCTGGGAAGCTATTTGAGTTTTGTGGTAGTTTGGAAACTTGAAAAATATTTCTGTTCCAAGTCAGTGTTTTCTATAGAACAAAATTCTGAATTTATATTTTGGAAGAACCAGTGGAGATCTGTTTCTATGTATGTATACGCACACATCTGTGTATGTAAATATCAAGCACTTCTTTAAAAAATGTTTAGCTTTGCTTGTGATTTCAATTTACATTACAAAGTTGAAATATTTTTACTTTTCAAAGGTCAAGCTACTGTAATGGAATAAATGTTTAAACTTATTGCATTAAATATTAATAATTTTACTTTGTAACTAACCTGTATATTTGGCATTTAGGAAAAGAAAAGCAGAAAGATTTTACATTATGTTGTATTGTTAAGACCCTACCTTGCCCAGTGAATTTTGGAGCCTACACATGTGTAAGCAGAGGACTTGAGGAATGTAGCGGCTAACAGGGGTGGCTGAAGTACTCAGCCTCTAGAGCAGGGAATTCAGTCCTTCAGAATTACTTCTAATCTTGCTGTTTCATCTCAAAGCTTGCATGCGTGTCTTGCAAATATAAGCATGTCTGTATTGGGATATGAATGGCTTCAGTTGCTGGTACTTTGCTTGGTTTTTCTTCAATCTTCATCTTTCTGTTTTGCTTAATATTAAGGTTTCTACCTACCTTGTACCCTTAAACTTACTCGTGTCCAGTTTTTACTGAAAAACCAACGAGAAGGAACATTTGTACTTTAAGGTGTACAGGCTTTTCTTATGTTTGCTTTTTCTTGTGCTGGCATCATTTCTGTCCACTTGCCCCATAAAATAAATCCAAAAATGTTCTTTCATAAATTTAAAAGATTCTTCCAAAATAAGAAGTCCTTCTATCAAAAATTACAATGTTTTGGAACATGATCCTTAGCAAACAGTCTCTGCCCGGGAGAGGAAAACCTGTATAAAAAGCACTGCTTACAATATTAAAATGGAGCAGTATTGAAGTTTCAGAAGTACAAAAGGTTCTAATTGATCCTGTGACATGTTTCACTCACTTTGGAGAAGCACATTCAAATAGATATTAGTTCTAGTTGTAGGGAAGGACAAGCAGTCTTTTTGAAGGCAAGCATAATGAAGACCTGCATATTTCATGATACATCATGTACTGCTGAGGTGCAGAGGCAAAAATTCAGTACTCTACAAGTGTGTCTGCCCAAACTGGAGCAGAAGTAGCTATTTAGCATCCTGCCAAAGTGCGTTTGATCTTAGAAGTTATAGAATATTTGTTTTATGACTATGAGAGTGCCAAGAAATTCTTTGAAGCAAAGTCTGTAATCTCCAAGACTGAGATGGAATAGGATGAAACAGGAAAGTTACTGGAAGATGACATTGTTAAAAAAAATACAAAAAAACCAAACACAACAATCTTCCCCTCCAACTCTTTTTAAGCCTGCCTTTTTTAATTATATTGCCTGTCATGACTTTAATTCTGTAAATTAATGGTGATATGGTGTCTGAAATATCTTTTCCAATGTATGTGTGATATGATGGATTGTGATTAATTGAAATATAGAGGCCTGAAGTTTGATAGCTTGTGAAGTACCATTTGCGATACAGCCTCAGCTTCCACTTTTCTTTGAATTGAACTATGTCTTTGTGAATATCATTAGTCAGAGTATTAGACCCAGAGGGAGACTATATAAATTACAGATCACTACTGAACGAAGTTCCAAGATTTCCTTTCTTCCTTCCAGATTGAGGTAGCATATTGCAGTACTACTCTGACTGGTTTTGCAGGCAGAAAAAAGCAGTGATTAAAAACTTTAATTTTAAAATGATATTTGTACTTGTATAGTAAAGCCTTTGCAGTACTGGCCTTTGTGGGCTTGCTGGGGTAGCTGAGATTTGGTAGGTTATTGAGACCATCCTGCAGGCAGTTTGTGTGACATCATGCTGGAAATGTTCAGTAGAGGGAGTTGGTTGGTGAACAGAAACAGCTTTAAATGTCAGACTTGCCTAGATGACTCTCCTTCTTCTAGTGTTTACATCTGAACCAAAGTCTATCTTTCACTCTTCCCCTCCCAATAAAATAAGTTCTTGGCAGCTGTGTGAGACCTGGATAACTTTAACATCTTGATTAACAATTTTACCAAATAATCCTGCAGTGAGGGTGTGGGGGTCTGGGGTTGATTTTTATTTTTTATTTTTTTTAAATTGCCTTATAATCTGCAGTGGGAAGGCCATGTGCATTTGTGTTTTGTACAGAACCTAGAACACTTATTTTAAAACCCTGAAGTTAACTTTAATAGGTATAGAAATAAGATATTTAGGACCTACAACTAAAGTACTGATTCTGTAACATTCTGCTGCTATTTTTAAGCGTTTCTGAGGTGCCTTTTGTGCCATTGCAGCTGGGTGTTGCAAAAGTTATAGATCTCTACTATGTATAAAAATCTAATGGAACAAATTTGTGATGTTTTCTTGAAGAGCTCAGTAGAGGCAGTACACTTATTACAAAAACAGCTTTAATAAAATTTCTTTACTTTTATTCCTTTTCTGTACTGTTACAGGCAGCTAGTCAGGTTTAATTTGAATACTGGACATGACTGTGGTTCTTTTTAAAGATCAGAGATGATGAATGGGGTTATCCCAAAGAAACTCAATGGCCAGAGCTATAAGAGACTCTAGTAGAAGCAGCTGTTGAGTTGTGCAAGCAGCCACATTAAATAACAGCAGCGAGTGTAGAGCACTGGTGGTGGAAAGGCTTCTCTCAAAAGCTTCGAGTAATTACCCCACAAACACACAGTGGTGAAAATGCAATAGCCAAAGGTAACCTGGAAGAACTGTACAGTTAGTTCACCTTTCACTACTGCAACTCTTTGGTTCTATAGATGGCAAATGAAGAGTACATAATGGTTCAGTCTGTATCTCAAGTAGTGGTCACTGACAATAGACAGATCTGCTGCAATACCTGAACAGTTTTCAGTTACATTTAGGCAAAGGAGGCCAACCAAAACACTGTCGTAGCATTCTGAACAGTAATGACAGCACCAAAAGAAAGTAATGCTCTCCCAAGTGGTTAAATGCTTTCAATGGAAAAGCCAGAATTTCAAGTTTGTGAGGTTAACTGAATGTCTGATAAAAGGCAAGACTCTATTCTGGAACATAAGTTTGCTGAAGTTACTAATGAACACTCAAAGTTGTAAACCTAGAGAAAGTAACAGAAATGTGCCAGGACCTGACAGAAAATCCATGATGCTAAAAGTAGTGATACAAAAGTACTGATATCTGAGAAAGGAATGTAAAACTCAGTTACACTGTGCAGAACAGCCCATGGAACCATGCCAGCTCTGATAACCTATGCAAGATGATGCCTGATATTTGAAGTAAAAGGTAAGTGAACAGTAAGGGATCATATTACATTGCAGGAATTTGTAGAGCATGTGTGACTGGGAAAAGAGGTTTGACAATTAAGCTATTAGCCTCGAGGAATTCCTCTTGGGAATAGAACCATAGGAGAATATGAACAGAGCATTGCACAGATAGCAAACCAGGCATTTATTAATTTTAAATTTAGGATGCTGACTCTTGGGACAGTACGAAACAATGAGATCAACACTAGGAAAAAAAAAGCAGTGGTCAGCTGGAACACAATGAGGTGAAATGAGATGAAAATTTTTTCTCAGGAAGAGTTGATTAAATAATAGAAGTCTACTTTTAAACATACAAAAAGTATTCAGTCATCTTCTGGAGGAATTTTTCTCCATTGACTGTACAAGAATTGTAGACTCCTAAGGTATAAAGTAGATAGTCACATGATTCCTCTGTAAATGCATGAGTAGACATCATTGCCTATTTAATCACATTTTCAGGGGACAAGTACCCATGATATGCCTCAAAATTACCAAATCTTCAAATTCTTTGGATAAGTATACACCAAGACAGGTTTGGGAATCCTTCAAATCCTCTTTTGAGCAGCAAAGTCTTAAATAAAATGGATTTTACTTCTTTCAGTGGTGCTCCAGTCTGTAATTCTGTGAAAGATTTTTAAAGGCAGAAATTAAAAATAATGTTACCTCGTTGATCTGAAAACAAGTCGAAAAAAACATGTTAGTCAATTTTAGAGCTGATTTCTACAAAATGCTTGCTGGTCTCAGTAAACAAACAAAAGGTGGGTTCATTTTTTGAGCAGGCCTCCAAATAACTAAGATAAGTGAATTATTTCCTACTAGTTACCATGAGAAAACCGGATGATGTAAATACCTTTTCTATAACTACAAGATTCTGCCAAGTGGCTTAGAAATACATGCCTGTCTGGGATGTGTTGGAGGTTTATAAGCATTTTCTGGTTGTAGCAAACAGAGGAATTAAAGGATTTGAAGTTTTAGGTACATCTATATCTGTTAGTCTGAGAAATGAGCATGTGGCAAAATACAACTTTAGGAGACATAAATATGAACAAAGTGGCATATGAATATATCTCTGGTGACAAGAGTCTAAAATCAGCATTTATAACTCAGGCATTGAATGAAGCACTACAGTAGCTATCTCAGTGGCATAATGAGCTCAGTATTTCTTATATCTGGGCTGTAATTTCAATGCCTCCGCAGGCACTATGGATCTTTTTAGACCTTCCTAATTCATCATGTAAAAGAGGAATTTCCCATCTAATCCTATCCTTATTAAATTACGTAATATCATTAGTAGGGCTGGCTGAAAGGTGTTTTTCTTATTAATGTGTTGCTGAAAGAACTTAACCTCAAAAGTTGCAGTTTTACTCTACATTAAGATGTTATGCAAATTCCCCATCTCACTCAAGGGATCAGAGTGAAAAGCAGACGCTGCTTTATTATTCTCAACTCACTTTTTTTACTATTCTCACTGACTTTTTTTACTGGGCTTTGAGCTCAACAGACCTAAATGCAGTTAAATGCATCCTTTGTGCTCTTTGGAAAAGCCTTCATTAGTACTGATAGCCTCCTTCAAAATTAATGCTGTGCATGCCAAATTGACCTACACAGGAGAGAAAGATGAAAATCACTCTTTAAAGCCATAAGGGAGTGAGAATGATCCTGTTTTGTAACACTGTCTTAAGCTTAATGTAAATTATGCTTCTATATATTTTATCTGTTAGAGAGGGGTCTATCAGAAACCTATAGTTAAAGGTTCATCTGGGGTCTTTACTGATTTTGTTAGGAAAGTTAAGGCAACACTCTAAGTAGTCAGCAGGCTAGATAAGGATTTAGAAAAGGGGAGGAAATAAATGTGTGAATATTTTCATGATGCTAGACCAAACTAAGACAGTAATAGTGACTTTAGCTGGCTTGCTTTTAGGTTTGATGCTGTCTTGACCCCTAGACTGAAAGCATGGCTTAGGAATATCAACTTCTACAACTTAAAATGAGGTGTACCTGAGCCTTTTCTATGACACAAACGTATTAAAAAAAATATATATATATAAAAAAATCAAACCTGTTGGCTTAGTGGTAGTAGGATAACACTGATTTAGGGTTATTTAAGTTCCACCTAGTGTTATTTCTAGATTAGTTTAACTAATGTGGTACCCATGACAACATTCAACCAACCTGCTGTTACAGTTACCTCAGTTGAGTTTCTTGTGCAATCATTTGTAACCTGACCCTGCTTGTCAGTACCATGCAATAGATTGCAACTGTCTTCTTCTAAGTATTTTCTCATAACTAATCATACAGTATTCACATGCTAACTTGGTTATTGATCCTCCTTCCTTCTGTGACTTTATTGGCTTTAGCCAAGAGGTGGCTGTATGTTTACATGAAGTAGCTGCGAAAGGAAGATACCTGGCTTGGAAATTCCTTGAAGAACCTGCTGAGGTGCTTGGGTTTCAATATGTTGCTTTCTCTGGGCCTTGTAGCAGATCCTGAAGCACAGTTGAACTAAAGAACTTTAGCAAATGTATTTTTGAAGGCTGTCTTTCACATCAGTGGGACTGTTTTTTAAGGGTTGCTAGTGTGTTGAAACATGTGCATTGTCTGAAGAAGTTATGTCTGCTTTGCCTAATATTTAGAGATAATAATAAAACAACTTCTCAAACCCCATAAAGTTTCTATTAGGAACTCTTCATCTTGAAATTAATAAATTACAAGATTTGATTCTACAATGAAAGTTAATAAGCCTTGGTAAGATCAGTATGACTTTTCCTCTTGAATGAGTTTGTAGTCATTATGACAACATAGCACTATGAAATAATGCTTGAAAGAGTCCGTTAAATTAAAAGCTCTTTGGGTACTTGACTATTTGATTTGTGGAACAAACATTTCATCACTATTTACTGAGGATTATGTATTAGAAATTTCTGACAAAACTAGTGTCAGAAAAACTATGAGAAACTACATTTTATAGTAGAAACATATGATTTGCTGTTATTGGAAAAGAGTGGGGTGGGTTTTTTTTTAATTACTTATTATTGAGTATTAAATTAAATAAAGTAAAAAACCCTAAGACTTAGGTCTTAGGCAATGAGTCTGTTCATTGCAAACATCCGTCTGATGTACAGTGGCAATCATAATAGAAATGAAAAATGTTAACCTGGGTCAAAGAAAAGGATAAAGGACACATTATTATGCTATTGAAAACACAGCTGAGATTCTCTCCATTTAAAAATAATAGTATTTTCTCAAATACAGGCGGTGTTGACGCAGAGTTGTAATTCTTGAGTCTTACTTGAGTCTGAGTCTGAACTCTCAGCTCCCACAGTTGCGCCAGCATGCCACAAAGAGCTACGATGAAAATATCACCAGCAATTACAATTCCATCTTTGAAGTTCAGTCTATCGGGGTGCACAGGTATTAGTAGGCTGGAATTCTGCTATTTCTGAAAACTAAGATGCAAACTCTGTGTTATTAAAATTATTGGAAGCTAATGGTTATGAATCATACTTCCCTTGAGGCAGAAATCAGTATTTGACTTCAGTGCATCCAACAAGGAAGGCTGTGTTTTAATCATTTTGAACTGTCCTCGGTTTGATCCTTGATTGGGTTAAAGTGCCGTATGAGAAAGCAGGGAGGATAAATTAGTGCTGTCATCCACCTGAGTAATAACGATACACTTCAAATTTTTGGCATCTAAACTGATAGGTTTGTGAATGTCTGAAGAGAAATAGCTAACAAAAATGTATGACAGAAACAAAAGGCGTATTGGTCTATGAATTAAAATAAGAATAGACAAAATCTATTTTTTATTTCTGGCAGGAGATCAAGAGAAGTCATCCTTTATTGTTGTTTGGAGTCTTGAACAGATAGTGTAAGTAGAAAATTTATGAATATTTATCTGGTTTTATTCTGTGGTGACCACTTGCATTCTAGTCAAATCTTTTGTCTCTGACTTCAGCAGAGAGGTTCTTCACTTTGTTGTATTTTGTTTTGAGAATCATCATAGTATCATAGAATACCAAGTTGGAAGGAGCTTTAAGGGAAATGTGGTCCAAACTTTCTTGGCAAAAACATGTTGTGGACAAGATAGCCCAATACCCTGTCCAACTGAATCTTTAGTGTCTTCACTTTCATGAAAAGATTATTGTAACGACTGATTTTGTCATAGTGAAAAATTTTCCTCTCATGTGCAATTGGAATCTTGTTGATGTAACCTGGCACCCTGTTGGCTTTCTTTGCCATAGCTGTGTACTGCTCACTCATATTGAGCTTCATGTTTACCAGGACCCCAGGTCCCTTTCCACAGAGCTGCTCCCCAGCCAGACAGATCCCGTTCCGTGCTGCACTCTTGGATTGTGTTTACCCAGGTGCAAGAGTTTACACTTGTCCTTGTTGAACTTCATGAGGTTCTTGTTAGACCACTCTTCCAGCCTGTGCTGCAGGGTGGCTCTCCCTTCTGAAGTGTCTGCTTCCCCCCTCAGCTTGCTGTCGATGGCAAATTTCATCAGGGCACAATTGATCCCATCATCCAGATAAGTTATGAAGATATTAAACAGCATGTGGCCCAGTATGGATCCCTGGGGGATCCAACTTGTGACAGGTCACCAGATAAAAAAGGAGCTACTTACCACCACCCTCTGCATGCGGCCTGTCAGCCAGTTTCCCACTCACCACACAGACACCTCATCTAGATCATAGCTCATCAGTTTCTCTAGAAGGAGTCTGTGGGAAACTATCAAAAGTCTTTAAGAAATCCAGGTAGGCAATGGCCACTGCTTGCCTCACCTCAATTGGACAGGTTACTCGGTTGTAGACGGTAATCAGGTTTTTCAAACACAAATTCCCCTTGGTGAATCCATGCTGGCTTTCCCCAGTCAAGTGCTTCATTTGACTTGTGATAGTCCCCAGGAAGGTTCATTCCACAACTTTCCCAGGGACTGAAGTAAGACCGATGGGTGTATAATTTCCTGGATCCTCGTTTAAGACTTTCTTTTAGATGGCGGTGACATTAGCCTTCTTCCGGTCCTCTGGGAAGTCCCTAATCTCTGTGACTTCCCAAAGATTATGAAGGGCAGCCTCACAACAACATCAGCCACCACGGAATGCATTGAGATAACCCCAGAAATGTGGTATCACCACGAGAGGCTGTGAAACCTGCCACTGTTTTACCAAACCTAACTAGGTAGCTTGT